GAAGAGAGAGAGAGATATGGCGTGGAGCTGAGTTGCCCCAGTGACCCTAGCTGAGTCCATTTTAAATCAGCTAACAGTGAACCCAGCCATGATCAGAAGAACTACTTAACCAATCTCTGACTGACCTACAGACTCAGGAGAAATAATAAATGATTGCTGACTTCAGCTACCAGGTTTGAGGATGGCTAACTATGCTGCAACAGCTAGCTGATACAAAAGTTATAATTCTCTTATTAAATTATTTTATTCGTTTTTCTGTTTAGTAATTGCAGTAAGTACCTCATCTTTGTAATATTTTGTGTACCATAGTGAAAAGAATATCCAGGAAGAGCCAAAGACATATATGCTTCCATTTCCTAATGTCATAATCTTAGACATTTACTCATTCAACTATGTGCACAATATTAGAAATAAAAAAAAAAACCCTGCTCTCATTAAATCAGTCAGCCATATATTAGGGGGAGAATACAGACATGAACAAATCATTTCCATCCAGTGCCATAAGTAATAATAGGAAGTATCTGTTATAACCATGATCTCTGAAGTGAAATAACCTGAATTAAAAACATTGCCTACCTCACTTCCTGGCTGGATGCCTTTATTTAACCTCAACTCTACTTTCATTATCTATATGATGGGATGGGAATTAATTATACCTACTTCATCAAATGGTTGAGGGGATTGCATGAGTTGACATCTGAAACATACTTAGAACATACTTTGAACTTGACACTCATAAACTATCGCTGAATGCCAGTTATTGCTAAAAAAAATAATAAGTATGAAAGCATTGAGAAGTAGACCATATGGGGTGGGAGCTGGGTGGAAGGGTAGTCACTGTAGAAACAGAAACCTGCAAATCTACTTGGACTTTAGTATCTTCATCTGTATTTCAAGGAACAAAGAATAGATGACTATTAGGATATCTTGCAGTTCTGAAATACAACATTCTTGTCTAGCATCACATTTTGTCTAGAGTAACACATGTAGTAAGTTCCCACTAAATATGGAATTTTATCTTTAAAGTAGTTTTCAAAAGAAGTTGGTCTAAAGATGTTAATTCACATGTCATTGTGTGTGACAATAGAGGCAAACTTCATAAGATTATCACAGGATATTCTGGCCCTGTTTAATAGAATTGGAAGTGAAAAGGGGCTATCTATTCCCAAAATTTGTAACATAAAGACCCAAATCATAAGTATGTATTGTGCTTGAATAGAGCAGCTTAAAGCCTGTTAAATCAAATTAATAAACATCCACATTTTCTCAATGTTTAAGCAAAGTTACTGAATTCCTTCTATTTGCTATTTTGTATTTCTGGTTACAAGATGCTGTCCTCTGCTGTTTGCTGAAGATTACACCAGGTAAAGTCACCAACACACAGTGAAATAACATGATAGTTTTGTTTCACCAACCAATGCCTACAAATCAGGAATGGAGAACAAACACAGAATTCTGTATGTCCTTAGACAAACCTGCCTCGTTAACACCATGTTCCTCTTCTCCTGGGGCGTCTCATTTTAATGGCATCTGTCCTGTCCAAGCTTTTGGTCACTCAGATGGGCTAACTGGAACTGTGACAAAGTTACCGATTCCATTGCTCAATGGGTAATTATTTCCCCTAAAAGAGCTTTTATCAAGAATTTTACTTGAATATTTACCCTGTCATTGTTGACAATACCTGGCAACCTCTACTGAATAAATATCTACATTTATATCATTATTTAATAACAATTTAGTTTGCATATGCATTTGTATGACAGTTAGCTTGTTTACTGATTATTTCAGTTCTCTTTCAGTAAGATCCTTCAGTGACAAATGTGGCAATTCCATTTCCCCACAGGGAGACACATTCACCTCCCAGGATTCAGAGCTGATAACCATAGCCTGCACGCCTGTGACCATCTTAGATGTATTCCCCCATACTACCCAGAAGTAGTAGCAAAAATGGGAGAATTGGTATTGAGTAAATCTGGGTTCAAAACTTGTCTGTGTCATTTACCAAGTATGTGTCTTTCGCATCACTTTCCCCATCTTTAAAAATCTCCCAAGGGGTTGTTCTGAATTTTAAATAAAGTGATTATTACGAGAAGTTAGCAAAAGAGCATGCCATATGGATGCCCAGTAATCACTGGTTCTAGTCTGAATCAAAAAATGAAAACCAAGTAACTAGTGCAAGGTCATTATAGTGTGAATGGGTAGCTGACGTGGAAAAAGAAATTGTAGCTACCGAATGAGAAGCTAAACAGGAATGGGAAGACTTTCCTTTTTCTTTTTGGCTAAATAGCACTGATCCTTCCCTGCTGCTTTGTTTGATAGATTAATTCATTCTGAAAGGTTTTAAAGATGTCTGGTAGGTAGCTAATAATCAGCTTTGAAAAACAAATCATTGGCCTTTCCCTTGCTGTCAAAGTCTCTAAAAAGAAAATTTGCATTTCAAATGGCTTCTAGTTTACTTCAGAACCAGAGGGTAGACTCCTTTGAAGCTATCTAGAGCAACTAGTAAGTGTACTTTTTAATGGCTTATTAGTTGATAAACTGTTATTGGCTATATAAGGGTGAGAGCTTCAAAAGACAAAGTTATAGTCAACTGCCCACTAATGTTTTAAGTCAATCAATACAAGCATTTATTTAAAAATAGAAGCAATGCCATTACACCTCAACAAATTCACATGTTGATGCAATTCATAACTACACCAAAGCTCTCCAAAAAGATGGGGAAATTATAATAAATCACAATCCATGTGTAAAGAAAGGCTTTCCCCTTGCAGATGCTGACATTTAAGGTACATATGAGGGCATGTGCTTAGTACCCAAATAAATCTATAGATGTAATTCTTTTTTAAATTTTCTAATGCTAAGTGAGAAAATATCCATGTACTATAAAGGGAACAAGAAAGAAAAAAAGAACATTTGGTGTGAACTTGGATATGCCTCTGATGTTCTCTTAGTAAAAAATCTCCTTTTTGTCTAATGACATTTCTCATTATGATTAACTCACTTTGTTTAAAACTGTTTTTAAGCCAATTACATATTCTGATCTCTCAAAAATAAAGAAAATCAACACAAAGATCATTAACTAGGGAGCCTAAAGCAGATACATACTTGCCCATCTCCTCCAACATATAAACTTCTTTATTGACAAGTATGTGGTGGAGAAAGAAACCAACATGAATGTAGTACTAATGTTTCGTGGGCCCCTCCGTTTTTCTAAGAACACTCTGTGAAGTTGAAATGTGCCTCTTGCCCCGCCCCCCCACTGGGACCCCTTAACATGCGTTGATGGAAAAGCCCACAACCAGGAGGAAGGATGTTGGAATTGAGTTGTCAAGCTGTCCTGGATGTCTTGTACAAACTGAACAGGCCAATTTACTGCAACACTGCGCAGGCTGAGGGCTCCTATCCCGCCTGTTCAGTGCTTTCGCATGTTGAGATTATCCTCCTGGACCAGTCTCCCTTCCTTGCAGCTTTTCAGTTACTCCTAGATTCCTTCTGATCAGCCTAGCCTGGGTAATACTACCGTCTTAATCCTTACCTTATGACTTGCCTGCTTGGCTAGGGAGAGGAGATTCTCTTGTCCAGCCATCTGAAAGCAACAGCTTTGTGTGTTTAGTGCTATTTCTGAATCCTAGTGGTGATTTGATTTCAGTGTCTTCCCCTTTGTAGCTCCAACTCCTGGCTTTCAGGAGGAAAACAGGCAGGCTTTTAGAAAGAAAAATAAATAAATAAATAAATAACTTCTGCCACACAATCCCTGAGTTTCTTCGCCTATTTCTAACCTCCGAGCATTGGGGGGTTGCTTTGAAACGCAGCTGTTCTGGCTCTGCCCTCCAGGTGGCAGCGGTGCCACACCGCAGAGGCTCCAACCCCCTCGTCCTCGACTTCAAGTGTTAATGCAATTGACCAATCAGTGCTAAGATGATGGGAGGTAATTGGGTAATTGTATTTTACTGATCCCAAGCAGAGAAAGGGAAAGGAAAAGGGGAGAGAAAGAGGGGCAGAGGAGGGAAGGGGACTGCAGTCCGAGAGGAGATTTGGGGACTAGGACCCAAAACGTCAGGACGCGGCATTGGCTGAGAGAAAGCCTAGAGCGGCAGGAGGTGCCACCGGCACAAGGAGTGCATTTATTTATCCGGGGAGAGCGGGGAGAGTGGGCGGGGTGGGGGGGTGGGAGAGGAGCGGGCGGGAGAGGAAGAGAGTTCAAGCCGAAGTGGATGGAAGGGGACCCGGGTTTCTGCCGCGCAGGGAGCCGCGAGCCAGGGCGATGGTGCTAAGGACGGCGCGGAGCAGCTGCGCTCCCGAGAACGCGTCTCCTCGCCGAGGACCAGCCGGCGTGGAGAAGGTCTGCGCGAAGAGAGGCCAACTTGTGGCTCCAAAATGCACCCGACGCAGCTGGAAATGAGATCAAAGCTGCAGTTTCATTCGGGAAGGATGAGAGGAGCCAGCGATTAGGGATTTTTTTTTTTTTTTTAATGTTCAACCTCCCTCGTTCCATTTTCTATTTTCCTTTTTACTTTCCTTATTATGATTTTTAAATTTGCCTAACACCCCGTCGGTCCCCTCACTTCGCCTTCCCCATTTGAAATAAAAAGCCCAGTTTGAACTTCTTTCGCCGCGGCGCCCCCGGATGCGCTGCCCGCTGATGGAGGAGAAGGGGACCCCGGGGCTGGCAGGGGCCACCGGCGAGGGACCGCGTCACGCGTCTCCCCCGTGATCCCGGCCCTGATCGCGGAGTTCTGCAACACCTGAAGGATCTGGACCCGTTGCCGGGGGTGGGGGCGGGGACAGAGGAAACGAAAGCCACCCCGAGCCTTAAAAAAAAGAAGAAAAAAAGTAGCGGGGGGGCGGAGAGGAATGGGTTTCTTCTTGACAGCTGACGGAGCCTTGAAATTTTCCTCCACTACCCCCGCCCCCGCCCCCGCCCCCGCCCCCCGCACTCCATTTAACGTGAGATTATGAAATTGCAGAGGCGGTGGAGGGAAGGAGACAGGATATAACAGGGAATTTGGAGGGAGAGGGGAAGGTGGCTGGCCGGGTGGCTGAAATCAAAAATCCAATTGCGCACTGGGTTGTGATGAGAAATCTAATCAGATATTTGGAGAAGGGGCCGGCCGGAAGACTGGCGAGTGGGGGGAGTTGATCCCCAAATTCTTCGAAGGGGGAGCTAGGGGTTAGGAATCAACGATGTAAACGGAGACTTTTTTTGTGGCGGCGGCGGTTGGGTGCCTTGCAAAAATGAAGGATGCGGGACGCAGCTCTCTTTTGGAACCGAACGCAGTGGATAAACTGATTGTGCAAGAGAAAACGAAGAAGGAAGCTTTTTCTTGTGAGACCTGGATCTTAACACAAATGTGTATGTGTGCACACAGGGAGCCTTGAAAAATTAGATAAACCCGTGTCAGACCCACGGGGCTCGGTGTGTTCTGACATAAATAAATAATAATAAAACAGCTGCCCCCCCCAAAAAAAAAGGATGATTGGAAATGGAGAACGGAGGATCCACAAAGAAAAAGTATGTTCCTTTTTCTCCATAAAGGAGAAAGTAAGCCAAGGAGATATTTTTGGAATTGAAAGTTTGGGGCTTTTTTTTTTTTTTTTTTTAGGAAAGTAAAGACCTGCTATGGTGGTGTTTTCTTTTCTTTTTGAATTTCCCACAAGAGGAGAGGGAATTAATAATACATCTGCAAAGAAATTTCGGAGAAGAAAAGTTGACCGCGGCAGAATGAGGCATTGATTGGGGGAGAGAAACCAGCAGAGAGCACAGTTGGATTTGTGCCCATGTTGACTAAAATTGATGGATAATTGCAGTTGGATTTTTCTTCATCAACCTCCCCCCACACCTTTTTTTTTTTTTTTCTTTTTGGTGTCAAGATCATGCGTTTTCGCTTGTTCTTAACCACCTGGATTTCCATCTGGATGTTGCTGTGACCTGTCTGAAATACAGTGAGTGATCCTTATTTTCTTTTTTTATTGATGGAGAAAATACACATTAATTTAGCATTCCTGGTTCCTTGATCCCTGCACCCCCTTCGGTGGGATTCGTAAGGACCTGGCTGTTGGGGGACAGAAAATAGGGAGAGGGTGACCCAGGCTTCTGTTCCATCAGGTTGTGCTCACCAATAAGCTGGTTTGCTATAATGTTGCAGGTTGTCTGCATCCTGGGCAAATGCCTTTGCAAATGTGCACTAGGAAAAAAAATAAATCTCCCCAAGAAAGCCGCTGCAGTGTGGGGTGCCTGTGCTGTGTGATTGACACTCTGGAATGCGTTTAAGTTGCATGGCAGCCTTGGAGTTAGATGCACAAATGTTTAGCCATTGGAAATCGAAGGGACCCAATTTAAATTTCATTATCCAACCTGACATTGCAGATCAACAGAATGTATTAACACAAAAATATGATAATAAACCAAGCAGATGAAGGATGGCTTCTGGAGGATGGGTGGAGGGAGGGAGAGTGGGCATGGGGCAGGAAGTGGTGGCTGCACTTTCCCCCATCTCCTTGTATACACATGCTCAAATGTGGCCTTCAGATTACCTAGGTTCTCCCCTGTGCTAAAAATGGGAAGGAGGACCCACTTCTTTTTGACCCCACCCCCTTCAAACTAACCACTTCTTTGGATAACGGAAGCGCTGTCCAGAGATTGAAGGTGGCTTGGGCGGTTGACTTGGGTTTTGCCAGAAATCTTCCCCACGTCACCAAGACAGGACTCTTGAGAAAAAGGCAGAAATCTGGCGTCCTGTGGTAACTTAGATAAGGAGCTGAAGAAAAGGGCTGTGTGTTGAGCACCGGGGTTTCTCATGTGTCAGTTTTGTCTTGGGAGGGAGAGGCCAATAAAGATCAATAAGAGAAGGTTGAAAATGCTCAGAGAGCCTGGGGGCCTGTAGGATCACCCCTCTTTCCATCTCCTTCCTCCCCCATCACTTCCAGGGTCATGGAGCTGGCTTTTTTTTTTTTTCTTTTAACAGAACTCTTCCTCTTCATCCTTCAATATTCCTCTCTGGGGCCTTCTATCAGAATCATAGACTCATATAACTTTAGAGCCAGAAGACTCCTCAGAGATCTAATGCCAATAAAAAAAGGAAACTGAGGCCTAGAGAAGCTATAACTCTGCTTAATGGCCAAACCTTAGGAGACAGGTAACTCACACAAGTCTTTAAACAGCAAACAAAAGTCAGTCTGGGATCCAAGCTGGACAAGAATCAACCCTACATAGCATGGCTACTTCTGTCCCCACGGCTGCCATTTTTACCTAGAAGGGTCAAGGAAGGAACCTGTCCTGAGAGCTTGACATAAACTCTGACCACTCTGGACCTCAGGAGTAGCCCATCTACAATATTCATATCCTTTTTAAGACTTTTTTTTTTTTTTTATAGCAGAGCTCAGATAACCCTAGTTTCAGTACTACTAAAAATATTTTTAAAAAAGATCCCCAACTCTGGTATATCCCAAAGGAGATAAGAGGGCGAAATCTCCTGGGTCCCTCTTTGGTGTTGGGCACATTTAATCTGGTGAGTTGTGGTCCCTGGAGAGTCATTAAGAACCGTGGAGTTAGATTTATATTAGGGAGGTGATAATAGAAACCAGAAACACCCTTGCTAAAAGCCTCTGAGTCTGTTTTTATGCTCACATCATCTATTCTTATCCTTTTCATTACTCCTTAACTAAACTAGCCTACAGCTGAGCACTTCTTTAATTTATTTTTCTGGGCACATGTTTCCTGTTGGGACACAGATCAGGCAATACATTTATCAACCTATGAAAATGATCATGCAGGGTTTTTTTTTTTCCTCCCCTGAGCTCCTTGTAGGCTTCTGCATATCTTAGAATTCCTTGCAGGTTGTTTGTTTGTTTGCTTCTTTATTTTGTTTTTTACATGACCACAGTTAAGTCACTGCTTGAGATGATAGATTGATTCAAGTTATCTCAGGTTCCTGTTACGTTGCAACTTAGCACAAGTGACAAAAGAGGAGAAAAAAGTACTTTGTTTTTACTGCTTAGCTCTGGACATCACGTGGGAAATCCCCCAGCCTTGCAGTCAGTCTGGCTTCTGTTAATCCGTGGAGATCGCTCTCTCTTTCTTTCTTTCTTTTTTTTTTTTTTCCTTTTTGAATTCAAAATGTCTTCACTGCTACTCCAGTTAGACCTCAAAATACATTCCTCTCCTAAACATTGTCAGCCCCCCTCGGTACCCTCCATGCTTGCACACATGCAAACTTTTCTGAGAAAGAGAAGGAAGAAGGGAAGCGGGTGGGGGTGGGGGATAGAGAGAGAAGGAGAGAGAAAGAGGGTAGAGATATGTTTAAAGTTGTGGGCTGAAATGTGTCCTCCCACTCACCTCCATTTAAACATGTTCTTCAGATCTAGAGATAATGGAGCATCTAAGGATGGCATCATTTTTCATACTGGTGAATCACTTCCACTACAGTTAGGGACGCATTGCCCAGCTTGGGGTTTAGCTCCTTTTGTTTGGCATTCAGGGTTGGCCCGGTATTCTAAGCAACTTGCTCATGGACTGATGAAAGAATTTTGACCATGCAAGACCAGGAAAGTTACCTCATTTCAGCTTATTTCAGGGCCAAGGTTGGTGTCCTTTGAGTGACATTTGTGAGTAGGTAGTTGAATACTCGGATTCTGCGGAGGGCCATAGGCCCAGAAAGCTGCTGGGTTTTCCAAGTTCTGAAGTTACTTTTTCAAGTACCTTCCCGCTCTGATTTAATTGCTGTGCCCTTTGAGCAATAACTTTAATTTCTATGACCCTCAATCTTCTCATCTGTATAATGGGAATGATAATGTCAACAAATTAGAATGGTTTTTGAATTATAAGTAATGTTATGCAAAGCCCCAGGCATAATAGGCCCTCTAAGGAGGCCTGTTTGTTATGATTGTTCTTGGATTAATTTGGATTAACTTCCTGGGAATTAATACAGGCTGGCTGAGCACTTTACTGTGCTCAGTAAAATATACTTTACTCCTGTGATCTCACAGGAGTTGCCAGATTCTTCTTTTGATGTCTTACCAGGACAGATTGGCTGCAATATATCATTTTAGATAGGAAATACTGCTTCCACCAGAAGCCGAAAAATCAAGATTTTCTCCTTAAAGTATAGAAACATAAATCTCAGCAAAAATAACACTTGAGAGAGACTTTGGGGAAAAATAATGCTATTGTGTGTACTATGGGTCAAAAAGTTGCATATGATAGCTCTTATATATTAAATGTATAATTTTAGCTGTCTGTTACAGTGTCTGGCTCTGGAATGCTCAAAATAGAGGCAGATTTCTAGGCAATTATATAATTTAAAGTAGATAGTGTAAAATTCCGTTACTAATATTAAGGCCCCCAAGTCCACAATTTGGATGCATAGGCTTCCTAGGTATAAGGAATCCTATGTTTGTTAAACCTCTTTTGTGATAGGATAAAGTCTTGATAGAGTCTATGAAATCAAGATTTCATGTAGACATACTTGTCTTATAGTTTGCATGTGCTAATCTCCCAACACCAACTTGCCAGGGGTTTTCTGAGGCAGCCGGTCATGGTCATTGCTCCTAATTTCATTGTCTAAAACAGCAACCCTGTGTTCTATCCATTTCCTCAATATGTTTCCGGAGACCTGTTCTCCCTTAGAGGGAAAAAGAGTCCTACTGTTTTAATTATTGTTATTCTTGATATCATATCTGTGGATGATAACAAGACAGGCTGAGGGATTGCCCATTGGAATTTTATACTGTGGCTTTTCAATTAGGAAAACAATTTGAAATCTGTGTTCGTTTTGGAAAAGCATTCTAAAGCTAATCATTTTCACTGATCTTAAGATGAGATGGAAATCATCTATGGAAGTTCTTACCATTTCATAAATTTTACTGTTTTGTGTGCTCCTTAAAGGTGACTAAGAAATTTGGTAAACTTGGACACTGGCACCATAAGTGAATATGAATATTCAGCTTTCCACTGTGTCACGTGTGTTACATGCACTATTTAACCTCTCTGGGTCTGTTTGCTCATCTGTAAAATAGGGGCGATAACAACCAGATAGAACTGAGTGCCATGAGAATGAAATCAGTTTGCATATGTTATGCACAGTAGGCATTCAATAAATGCACATTTAAATTGAGCATCTATGATTTTAGTTTAAGTAATGCGTAATTTGCAAATAAAAAATAAACTGATATGGTCTGGTTAAAGGAAGCAGTTTATCTAAATTCATGTTGGTATAGATTTTAAAAAGGAGAAATGTATTAATGAGGTTGGAGTAACACAAATAGGTACAATCATTTTTGGTAAGATCCTATACTTTTTTTTTTTTTTAGTTTTTAATTTAATCACCAGGTGCTCATCATGACAAGGGCCCTCCTTAATCCAGATCACCTATTTCACCCATCTCCCCACCACAACCCCCCTCTGGTAATCATCAGTTCTCTATATTTAAGAGTCTGTTTCTTGGTCTATCTCTCTCTCTCTCCCCCCACCCTGCTTTTGCTCATTTGTTATATTTTGGTAAGATCCTACACTTTTAAAACATATTTGGATATGCTTTAGTGAATGCTATTCCTTCAGGAAAGATTGAAACATGCTTTGTGAATTGTGGAAAATATACTCTGTCCATGTAAACTTTCTTTAGATTACTTTATAATACAAATACAAAAAAATAATGATTTATAAATGGTGTTTTGGAAGACTCTCCAAAGGCATCAAGAGTCTCTTGCATCTTACTTTTCTTCAAAATGATTTCTCTGGAGAAATGTAAATTTGACAGTTGAAATTTGGTTGGGCAAATCTTGTGGCTGAGACAGTGTGCTTGTCACACTCTCTGATGGCAAGGATTTTATTTGTTCTCTGGCATGTTCTCAGCACCTCGGGAGAGTTTTTGATAGTGTACATGCAGTAAATATTCTTTGATTGACTAATTGAATTTAGTTTGAGACATCCCCTTCAAAAAACTCAA